TATATATATATATATATATATTTGGGATTCTTCTGTAAATAGGCATATTTTTTATGGATATTTGATTGAATTAAAATTGCAGGATAATCCCGTGGGAACTGGATATAGTTATGTGGAGGATTCCAAGTCCTATGTAACTACGGATGAGGAAGCTGCCACCGACTTAACAATTCTTCTAAAAAACCTTTATGAAGACAATCATATGCTTCAGAACAGCCCTTTATATGCAGTAGCTGAGTCTTATGGAGGAAAATTTGCTGTTACTCTCGCCTTATCCCTTTCCAAAGCCATTAAAGCAGGAGAATTAAAGCTCAACTTTTCTGGTAATTCTTCTTCTTCTTCTTCTTCCTTTTTCTTTTTTTTCAATTTATTTCCCTTCTTCAAAGCCTTATATTTATACATATATTTATTTTGTTCGGGCAGGCATTGCTTTAGGAAATAGCTGGATTTCTCCGGAAGATTTTGTGGTAAACTTAATCAGCCATTACCATACCCTTTCCTTTATAATTCTGATAAACTAAATAGAGTTTTCTTCTATGTTCAATAATGATACAGTTATCATGGGGACCTTTATTAAGAGATGTATCAAGGCTGGATGTTAATGGCGAAGCACAATCAAACAAGTAAAAATTATAACTTTGTCATAATTTTAATCTATAATATATACGGATCCTAATTAGTTAACAATATTATATATTACAAAACCAGACTAGCAAAGAAAATCCAGGAACAAATTACAAATGGGCAGTATTCTGCTGCGACTGGAACTTGGACTGAACTTGAAAGGGAAATTACTGTGCAGAGCAATTATGTAAACTTCTATAACTTTCTGTTAGATGACTCAGAAACAATAGCCGCTTCAACTTCTGAAGCTTCGGTGAAGAAGGTGATAGGGAAATATGCAAAGAAGGTTAGAAGTTCTAAGCCTTCTTCTGCTGCAAGTCTTGCGGACCTCATGGATGGTGTCATCAGGGATAAGCTTAAGATAATTCCAAAGAATGTAAGGTGAGGTTTTGTTTAATCTAATTTTCATTTTTTTATGTGAAATAATATTTTCTGGGATTATGTACTGCTCGTACTTAAAAAGGGAATCTGTTGCAGTTGGGATGAACAATCTTCTTATGTCTTTGGATCTTTGGTAAATGAATTTATGAGGCCAAGGATCAAAGAGGTATAAAATATTTACATATTTATTGCTTATTTAACTTATATTAATGCACTACAGGAAATATACCCATATTTGGCATATTTCCGATGCTACGATTGATATTAAAATGAGCGTTGCTAATTGAAATTGCGTCGATATTTGCATCGAAAATAGCTTCACAATAATCTGGTGTTGTAAATTTTCGTCGCAAAAACAGGCGATGAAACTCTATCATCTAGTTAGCGTCGGCCATTGTGGGCTCTAATTAGTGTAGACTATGGTGGATGATAATTAGACGTAAAAATACAGACCTCATCAAATTAATGACTGCAAATATCGAGCTGCCGATTGTTATGAATGTGTCGAAATTTCCGACATACTTCCTACACAAATCTGTCTTCAAAAAGTATTTGCATTTCTAATAACTTAACTTCAGTCTTTCAATCAAAACATACCTTACCTATTCGTGAAAATTGTGTTTCACTTTAAAATGGTGGTATTTTGTATGTGATAGAAAATATTTGGGCGGTATAAATATAAAAAATTAAAATTTAGGGCCCGTTTGGGGCAGCTTATTTAGTGCGGTGGCGTTTTAAAAACACACCTGATCTGTTTGGGTAAACTTTGTTTTGGCAGCTTATGCGTTTTCAAAACGCAGAAAACAACGTTTTCACATCGCACCTATCTAGGTGCGGTGACAGTTTATTGACAACAGTCTGACTTTTCCAAAAAAATAAAATTTATAATAGCCACCGCACCTAATTTGTTAGCGGATTATTTTTAATCAGCTTATCAGCAGATTATTCAATAAGCTACAACTGTCCTGAACAGACCCTTAGATAGGTGCTAGATATGTAAATATATAGGAATTGGATGGTGTATTTGTAAATATTAATTTAGAAATGGTATTGATGAGGAAAGATATTGCTGCAGGTTGATGAGCTCTTGTCCATGGGAGTTGATGTGACCATATACAATGGACAGGTTTTATTAATCTACTTTCCTTTTTTCAGATTTTTTTTTCAGGCCATCACCATATTTTTAATATAATTTAAAATGAGACATTCTATTTTATGATTTTACAGAAATAGTAATTAGGGCAGTAAATAATTTGCAGCCATTTTTGCAATTTAATTGACATTTTCGGTTCATATTTTTCAAGGTTGATCTCATATGTGCAACAAAGGGTGTGGAGGCCTGGGTCCAAAAGCTGAAGTAAGAATTAAATTGTAATTAATTTATTACACAAATAATCAAATAATAATAATAATAATATTAATATTATTATTATTAATCTTGTAAATAATAAATAAAATAAAAAAGTATTTTGTTTTTTTAATTTCTCAGATGGGAAGGTTTACAGAACTTCAGCAATGCTGAGCGAAGCCCTTTGTACTGTGAAAATGAGGGAGTCACTGCTGCTTTCAAGAAGAGCTATAAGAATCTGCATTTCTATTGGATACTTGGTGCAGGGCATTTTGTAAGTTACCCTCAATTAGGGGTGTAAACGAGCCGAACACGAGCGAGCCTATATTTCGAGCTCAAAAATTGTGTTCGTGTTCGGCTCGTTTGCTTTGCGAGCCGGTTCACAAACAAAGAGTCGTTTTAACAACTAATCACGTAGCCATAAGATGTTAGGGATTGGACAAGTTTTAAAACATTATTTGAATCTAATTTAATAATTTTTATTCCATTTTCTTCATTAATACTTTTAATTGATTATAAATCTTTGTTATCTTGTAGTCAATTAAATTTTCTTAAAAATACTACTCATCAAAGATATATATAAAATTGATTAGTAGTATTTCGAGCCAAAACGAGCCGAACACGAATGAACAAACATTCGTTCGTGTTGCTCGTGTTCGGCTCGTTAACTTAGCGAACAAGCCGAACACGAGCTGTTCGCGAACAACGAGCCGATTTGACAGCCCTACCCTCAATAGGTGAAGTACATCTTTTCATAAATAATAAAAGATGGTATTAATGTAAATATCAATGTTTAGGTGTTAGATATGTAAATACCATTGGAATTGTGTGGGCATGCATGCAAATCCTTGGCATTTCAATACGTAAAAAGAATATTAAAATAGGTCTCAGCGAAATATATCAAAAAATAAATTATAATAAGTAAAAATAATCCTTTTATTTATTTATTTATTCAGGTGCCGGTGGAGAAACCGTGCATGGCGTTGAAGATGATAGGTGAAATTACCCAATCCCCGGCGAAGAGCTCACCGTAGAGGTTCTTTGAGATTCGTGCCACACAAATTATTGCCCAATGTACTGTGATGATGAAGAAATGGTTGCTTTTGGGTTTAAAATGTAATTTTTATATTACATTTGTACCTTCATGAAAAGAAAAAAAAAATCATCTCTACTTGAAATATGGAATCAATTATCTATTATTTTCGTTAAGACCAAGTTAATTACTAGAGGCATTTACATGCATAAACGATTCAATTCCTATATATTTACATATCTAATGTCCAAACTTCTTTTTTTTTTTTAAATTTAGACCATCAAAACAGTTAAAAATATGCTTATTTTAACTTTTTTTTAAAGTTGAATATATGCTTTTATGCATTGATAAAATGACATGCATATAAAATTTGAAGTTAATGTATTAGATATGTAAATATGTACATAAGAATCGAGAGGTATATATACAAATCTTCCTCATTATTAATGTCCAATAAATTATTAATTGGATATCAATTTATATGAGTAAGATCATGAGAACTGAGAACCAATAATACAACCCCTACAAATAAAATAAGTTTTGACGCTCTAATGGCACCTTCTGTAGTGCTGTAACTATGTATTTATCTCATTACCTTGATTCTCTAATACTCAATATATAGTTTGTCTAGTTTATATAGTGTGTGTGTGTGTGTGTGTGTTTAGCATTGGAATTTACTTGCTTCAATGCTAGCTCTCAGGATTGATCATGGCCTTCTCAACTTAGGAGTAGATTATGTACTGCTTTTATCTACTACGTTTAGGCATGGAGTAATTGTTAGGAGCAAGTTCATAACCCTCCTTTGCATATTGATGTTACCATTCATAACCCTCCATTGATAAATTATTCAGACTATTATAAATGATTCATTTATTAAATAGTTTTCTATATTAATTAAACGATTTCTAATAATCTGATTATGGTGTCAATGTATTAACTACTACCTAAGATAATTAATCAGACTAATAGTTAGCCTTATTTATATAATCTTTTTTATTTGCATGTACAAATTATTAAAATTCACATGATTGGTTAAATTAATTTTATTATGGGAATTCTAAACCATGCTTACGCTGAAGCTAATAAATTAAGAGCTCTTCAAATAAATCAAGAAAACATTCTATAAATTATTTCTTGAGCATGTTTAATGACTTATTTCTGAGTCATAAAGTATTATTAAGTTTCACATGCAAATAATTTTTATTTATTTACATGTTTTGTTGAAAGATCTCAAAAATACTAATGATTATATTTCATATTTGTTATAATTCTATATTTAGAAGGTTATATATTTTATGGAATCTCTATTTATTTCTCTCCTTAATTAGAGAGATTAGTTGCCTCTTATATTTTGTTATTATTCATTTTTTTTTCTACTGTATTCTGTTTTTGTTGCTTCCGTTACCAGTAAGTCCTGTAATGGTATTTATACCCCTCTTTTCATTAATAAAATTAAGTTCGCTTATATCTTTTCATGGTATTATAGCCATACCAATCTTTTTCGGTATGACGACTTCTTCCTCTTCCTCCTAAGAAATATCATCCGTCTCTTCTGCTTCTGTTTCAACCGGAATCGATGACACTTCCTCCCTCATCACTGGCCACAAACTCAACGGCCAGAACTACCTTCAGTGGTCTCAATCCGTCATGATGTTTATCTACGACAGAGGTAATGACGACTATATCACAGGTGATGCCGTCGCTCCGACCAAGGATGACCCAAAATTCCGGACATGGAATGCAAAAAACCACATGGTCATGTCGTGGGCGAAAATTTTCTTCTCTACGGCACGACCAAAAGTATTTGGGATACCGCTCGAGAGACATACTCTCACTCGGATAACACATCCAAGCTCTTCGAGATCGAGTCAAAGTCAGTCCTTCACGATCTTCGCCAAGGTGATCAATCTGTGACTCAGTATTTTAATGCCCTCTCACGCTACTGGCATCATGTTGACATGTATGAAGTCCATGCCAAGTCATGCACTCTGGACTCCAACTAATACCGTCATATCATCAGGAAAAAAGGATATGCAAATTCCTTTTCGGCCTCAATACTCTCTCGATCATGTCCGCTCTCGTGTATTAGGCTTCAAACCACTACCGAGCATTTGCAAGGCCTTCTCGGAGGTTCGCCGCGAAGAAAGCTGCCAGAAAGTCATGCTTGAGCCTATCTCCAGCTCGCTCAATCTCTCCATTGATGCCTCCGCCCTTGCAGCTCGGGTTCCTCCGCCTCGGCACAGCAACAACCCATCACGCAATGGCCATCCCTGGTGCGACCATTGCCACAAACCAGACCATAATAAAGACAAGTGTTGGGCGCTTCATGGAAAGTCAACTGATCGAAAGCCTCGGTCTGATCGTGTTCCTCGTGCCAACAGCGTCGTCGCTGCCGATGACCTTCCTGCCCCAGCACCCAGTCCATTCAGCAAAGAGCAACTTGATTTGCTGCACAAACTCATCGGCAAACCACCTGATCTGGTTGTTCTCGACCCCATCACGAGCCTACTCGTGCAGCAAGGTACGTTCTACCATGCCTTCACAGTCAATCAAAGATCCCTCGGTCAGTGGATCATCGATTCCGACGCTTCTCATCACATAACTGGTGATACCTCCCTCCTCCATGACTATATGTCGTGCGGAGACAACTCCACCATCCGTGTTGCCGATGACTCTGTCTCCAAAGTCACCGGCTTTGGCTCCGTGCACATCACCCAGAACATTCTACTCTGATCCGTGCTTCATGTTCCTACTTTAAATTGCAATTTAATATCCATCGAAAAGTTGACTAGTGATCTGAGGTGTATTGCTAAATTTTTCCCTACCATGTGTGAATTTCAGGATGCAGACTCGGGGATGACGATTGGCAATGCTGAGATGTGCTTTCGTCTCTACGTTATCAACGAAACTTCACCACCACTACCTCGCTGCGGACATTTGTCTACCCATCATTATGTCTTCAATTCTAGCGTCAATAAAAAATTTGAGATTAAGTTACGACATTTTCGTCCTGACCATCCAAATTTTATGTATCTTGCAAAACTATTTCCAAATTTATTCATAAAAAAAAATGTTCGTTCTTTTCAATGCGAAATTTTTCAACTTGCCAAACACACTCGCACGTCATTTCCACGTGTTGGTTACACCTCTTCCCGACACTTTGCACTCATTCACAACAATATCTGGGACCTATCCCGTGTTACAACCTTTATCGGGACTCAGTGATTTGTCTCCTTTATTGATGATCACACTCGACTAACATGATTATTTCTTATGAAAGATAAATCTGCAGTCGTTCACATATTTGAACAATTTTATTCAATGATCCAAACACAATTCCAAATCTCCATCCAGGCACTCAAGACTGATAATGCAAAGGAGTACTTAGCTTCCGTCCTCGGCTCTTATCTCTTCTTTAAAGACATCCTCCATCTCAGTTCTTGCATCGACACTTCTCAACAAATGAGATCGTCGAACGCAAGAACCGCCACATTCTCGAGGTGGTCCGCTGCCTCATGTTTTCCTCTAACGTGCCTAAGATTTTTTGGGGCGACGTTGTATCCACTGCAGCCTACCTCATCAACAAGATGTCTTCTCGGGTCCTCAAATTTCAAAGTCCCTTTCAACTCCTCAAATAGTTTCCCCACACCAAGGCAATTACCTAAAATCTACCTACCAAAGTATTTGGTTACTCCTCCTTTGTTCACATTTTGAAGAATCCAGCACACCATGACAAAACGAAACACATCGAAATCGATCGACACTTCATCTCAGAAAACATTGAGAGAGGAGCCGTCGAACTTGCATACATTCTTTCTTGACATCAAACAACAGATATCCTCACTAAGCCTCTCCCAAGAATCAACTTTGAAGAATTATGTAACAAGTTAGACATGTACAATCTGTACAACCCAACTTGAGGGGGAGTGTTGAAAGATCTCGAAAATACTAATGATTATATTCCATATTTATTATAACTCTATATTTAGAGGGTTATAAATTATATGAAGGATCTTGAGAATTTCTATTTATTTCTCTCTTTAATTAGAGAGATTAGCTGCCTCTTATATTTTGTTATTATTCATTTCCTTTGCTACTGTATTATGTTTTTATTGCTTTTATTATCAGTAAGTTCTGTAATAAGTATTTATACCCCTCATTTCATCAATAAAATTAAGTCATCTCATCTTATATCTTTTCATATTTCATATCTAAAATTTTATATTTACGTATAATATTTGTGCTTTAAATCTATTCAGGAAAAACGAAAAAGTATATCTCATTCTCTTTAAAAATAATTAGTGTTATTTTTAATGTTCATATGAAAAATTTACGTGTTATGTGTTTAAATATGAAAGTTTACATGCGAGATACGTAAATACACCTCTAAATTTTAAATGACTTTCTCGATCATTATTTTTTTATTTTAGGGCGGGGATTTTTTGAAGGTTTGACATGATTAATTTATATTGAGCATTTGCCATAACAACAATGATATGATAATATTAAAAATCGATGTGATAATTATTGTAATAGCTGGCAATATTTTCTTATGATGTGCTCTTGGGAGCTCTTCCAAGAGTTGTCATGAGCCCTTATACTTGTCAATTTATGGAGAAAAATAATATGAAAGTCAGGTGAAAGACATTTGTGAGCTAAAAAATACTTCATATATTAGTATAAAAAATTAATCAATGAATCACAAGTCTTGAGCTGTTACATGTATCTACTTCCACAACAGTAGGCCAAAGAACCAGAGGCTCAAGAAGTGCGCCAACAACAGGTAGGGGAGTAAGTGTGGAAAGAGCAGTCGTCAGAGGAGACAAAGGCTGCATCGAGTGCGGTAGCATTTGCATAGGAGGGGTGGCAGCAGTGGGTGTAGGAGGAGGTGCCACAGGAGGTGTAGCAGCAGTCGGTATGGGAGGAGGTGCCACAAAAGGTGTAATAATAGTAGGTGGGAGAGGACCTGTCGGAGAAGGTGTAGCAGTAGTAGAAACAACGTCAGGAGTAGATGACCCGCTCTTCTTGTTGTGGTTGGTGGTCTAAAGAGCCCTAAGAACACGGGGTATATGAGGCGGCTAAGCATCTGTACCACT